CTGCTTTGCTGCAGTTTAGATCTGAACCTGGGCAGAGAACAAAGGCAGAGAAGAGAGTTGATTTTTGGCATGCAATGGACCAGGTCTCAGGGAAGCAGGCAAAAGCTGAGCAGCACATGTCCCAATGGACCCTTCCTTCCTCCTCTTGTTTTCCTTCCTACTGTACTCCCACTGACCAGGTATTTCATTCTTCAGCTCTTTGCATCCTTCCTTTCTATGCACTCAGGCAGCGATTAACTCCTGGGAAATGTTGGGATTCCGCTTCTTCTGAGCGCTGGGGCCAGGACTTGGCTCTTGGGAACTCAGTTCCCACCTTTTCTCACTGATGTTTCCAGACCTGGTCCCTGGGAGCCTCTTTGCCCATGGTGTTAGATCTCAGGTCCTATGAGCTCCTGCTGGCTCTGAACACACGCCAGGTCTGTACTCCTGGGAGCCTATCCGTGAGCTGGCTGCTGTGGGCACCTGCACCGTCCAAATGGCATGACCTGTGGGCTCCCACTCCCTCTGAGCACCACGCTCCTCCAAAGCACCATTCTGGGGCTCAGCTCCCCCAGCTCTTTCCTGGGCATCAGAATGACAGGGTCTCTGATCAGGCAGGCAGCAGCTCCTACCTTTTGGGGTCACAGTGAGCTAAAAGGGAATCACTTTCCCAAGGCATGCACCTCTCTATTCCTTCTCCCACCTCCACCACCACTTCCCTGGCATCATGAACCCCAAGCACAAGTGCCCAGTATGCTGCTGCTGCTGCTATACAAACAACTCATCACCACACAGTTCTCTGTGTGGAGACTGATTCTTGGCCCAGTCCATCCATTGCATCCAACACCTAACACTAGGACAGTCTTGGAGAGCTCATCTATCCTGACAGGCAGGGAGCTGGGAAGTGTAGCAGGGAATAAGGTGGTTGGGAAATCCCCATGGTCATTATTTATTTGTATTATGTTAGCACCTACAAGACCCAAATATGGACCGGTGGTAGGTGCTGTACAAACAGAGAAGAGAGTTGATTCTTGGCATGCAATGGCCCAGGTCTCAGGGGAGCAGATCATGTCCCACAAAAGACAATTGCTGTCCCGACAAGTTCACAGTGTGACTGTTCCCTTTTGGCTGGAGCTGGGGGTAGGGTTACTTGGAGTGGACAGCTCCTAGGGGGCAAAGATGGTTCTGCACTGGAAGAGGTCAATGGGCTAGAGAACTTTGGGCACAGGAACCCCATAGCAGGACTGCTCCCCTCTGACTGGCAGGTACCGCTGGGGTGGGGAGATTCTTGGGGGTTCCCAATCATTCAGGTGGCACTGAGGTGGAGAATCCAAATGGGTCCACTGGGGGGCACTGTGGTGGGGCGCCCCTAACCCTAAAGGGTTCGCTTCCCTGGTCTGGTGGGGGGCTCTGGGGTGTGCCCCACTCCCTTTGGCTGGCGGGGAGCCCCGGAAGTCTGCATTCCTCTAACTAGCGGGTGGCCCTGGGGCGGGGAGATCGGGGGTCGCGCCCACTCTCCGCTGGGGCGCAGCGCTAACACAGGGGGCCCCGCCGGCCGGTTCCGGGGGGTCCCCGCCGGCCAAGGGCAGCCCCGCGCCCACCGCTGCGCCTTGCCCCGCAGGTGCCCTGCTGCCCCCGGAGCCCCTCACTCACCTCGGCCGGCTGGAGAGCGAGGGGGGG